AATTGAGCCATGTTGTCGTCATTGTTGCTATACTAGTGCGTATAAAGTTTTGAGGTCAAGTCATTTGTGGATGTGCTTCCGGGATCATCTAGACCTCGAACTCGAATCAGGTACCCTTATCGAAATCACTTTTATTTAGCGGAGATGTCTTGTGACAATATATTATCATAATAAAATAGGTGTGTACACACAAGCAACGCTCGTAAGCGTACATTCCGTTAATTTTAAGTTTAGTCTTCCGATTCCTGTACGGCTGAGCTCATCACAAAAGTTCCAAGTACGAGATGCACAGCCTTGTCTCAATGTCAGTAATTGCTTCATAGATGATTGCAGGTTTCTTAGATATGAGTTAGCTTCTGTGCCATGTTCATCTACTTTTAGACAGCTAATTGCGTCTCGTATTGCTATAACACATTGTACAGTGTCCAAATATATGGAGGAATTGTTCTTAGTGCTGAAATATCAATCGCATAGGTAAACAAATTGAGGTCATTACAAGTACAAACATCGCGCTTCGTGCCTGTAGTCTTTCGAGATCATAACAAGTGTATAAATGATGGTTGCTGCCCTCACACACCATAACCGTTAGTTTCCGTACACGACGACACTTTCAAGTGCGTCAATTCGCTTCTTTAGCAACGGCGCCTGCCGTCAAATATTGTGGTTTGCGTAAGAAGTTACGTCAATCTTATTTTGCATAGATAAAGTCCAAAAAACTAACATTAAACCTTCGTATTACGTTTTCGAAAAGTCTCATTTGAGGATCAACAAGGATCAATACTACGACAAGTGATTATTGTAAGACGAATGAACAGGGTATGTCAACTTGATCCACTTTATACTTGCCATCACACTTCATCCGATCTTTGCCAGCTAATCGGGCACATAATTATGATCAGCGTTAAGGTTAGCATCACGATTGACATCACCATGTTTGCTTCCAGGGTTCGACGATCTTAGATTGAACTGTCTTGTGGCATAACAAATACGTATTATTTTGAACATTAAACCTGTCGATTCTTTCACATGTATGAGGATATCTCACACACATTATTGAGGCAGAATGCGAGGTAAATTATGATTTAAGATTGTCAATTAAGCTATTGCCTGAATAAGTATGATAGAACGGTCGAAGTTTGGTGAAGCGTTGTATGGCTTCACAACGATACCCGCTATTTATACGTGCATTATAATCGCATCATGATCTTTCTTTGGATCAATTGGCTCCAAGACAATGTAAATTCTGATGACAAGTATTGAGCCGCTTTTACTTCCATGTGAAAATAGTAATTATGTTTTTCACTCCACACGTATCAAATGGTCTATTCATCGACGATTATACTGTTTATATAACAAGTAACAGCTAGCAACAACGAATGTTTTTCCACGTAGTTACAACCTTGATATTCCATAAAATAATGCAATAGATACGATTGAACTCTACATGTATCCACGACTTCGATGTATTTTTCAATTGACTGCCTTTATCGACTTCTTGTGCAAATAGATATGACGTATAGTAGATTTAGACCGAACCTTCGATCGGGCAGTACGTGTTGCGCTGACTTTATTGAACTTCTATGTAAGTCGGAGACCGGTAATTGGGCTAGGACAAGTGTAGTAGTGGCGATCGCAACAATCATGACTTTTACCTCCAAAAGCTAAGATAGAAGTTCATGTATATATATATATATATGTATATATATATATCAGCTCGATAAATTAAATTGTCGGTACTATTTGCTCAACTATTAGTTCCTTGCGATCGATATTCTTCAGGTTGACAAGACCACCGACTAAAGGAGGAAATACCCCTATGTTGTTTGTAACTTCGCTTTTGTGAACTTGTACACTCGCCGGCGAGACGTATTGCTCTTTTCTAGGTGAACTTGAGTCGATGATGAGCGTGATTGTTTATGGCTCGTACGAGATGACCGTGGGGATGCTTCGCATGACCGATGTCATGATTGCAAGGTTCTTCTTTCGAGTCGAGATCATATGTAGTATATATACTTGTCGCATCGTTTTTTTATTATTTGCCTGCTGATTCCTTATGCTGTCTCGAGATCTTGTACTTATCCTCACTATGGTTCACATGTGTCCGACCGCAGAAGTTATTTTGTCTTATGAATAGTGTTGACTTTAGCCAAAAGATTCAAGGGCCAATATTGGAAGCGCGTAAGCCCAAAATTATATACAGGTTGAACGTCAAAGTTGATTTACCCATCAGAGAAGTCGACGCGTGTTTTAACAGCAAATTGAACTGTTTGTCTAATTTGATTGAAACAGATCCAAAATCTACAATAAGCTCCGTGTACACACATTGATTAAAATTAGCCACCGCGCGTAGTTCCGTCAATGCTCATTAATCGTAATAAGCCACTACTCTCACCATATCGCTATTGTCTCGTCCATATTCATGCTGTCCATATATACAACAGCTTCATTCAGATCTCGATAATGGGTCGCGGACACTGATTTGAGGTACTGGATTGCCGACACAGGCTCGTGAATAATCGAATACTCGATTGCGGTACGAAGTCGTCATTAATTCACGGACAGGATCGCGGATCGCATGTTGTGGATCGTACATTATCAAGTCTAGATAAAGCACGTGTTTCACATCTTCTACGTGTTCAACATATGCTATATGAGTCACATTAACCAGGTCGCAATCTCAAGTTCTACGACCTCGTTCGGGCTCGTGTACATATCGTATCACCGCCGTCCCTTCCACATGTCCAACCCTTTCGTACAAAACGTTCTGATGTGTACTACAGCCGATTAAATTATCGTACTCAACCACGGATTGGGTGTCTCAGCATACGAAAAATGAGACAATGTCAACCTATTGAGTTTATGTCGTCTAAACACGCTGCTGACTTTATTCGACAAAAATATTTTAACTGCTATTGCTACACACTAATCAGAATGTTGATATCAATCATGAATTATTTAAGACCTTTCTCTGCCGCTACCTAACGAATCAGATTATCAATAGCCACGTCACAGTTTGAGCACAAATCACGTGGTATTGAAATGATGTGCTCTACTTTCTACTGAATATTCGGCAGAAAACAGATATTTCAGTACAGGTTGCTCCATATCTCCAGGGGGTCAACACTTTTTCCTGCGCTGTACTAGACAAATGGCGTAAGGTGGGGTTTACATAGGAAGAGTATGACGAAAATTGCACAATATGCAACCTTGACGCATGTGTTGAGTAATCCGATCGGTACAACATTCACACTAGTCTTAGGAAGCTCAACATCCAATATGCTTCTTCATCTCTAGCATCGCCAATGTCAGTCGTTCAAGGTCCATCGAGTGTGCCCTATATACTAAGAGAACCTGAGTTGTATTATTTTATGCATAAAATGGAGCAACTGAAAGTATAATCTAGCGGTCAACGATGTAAATACACCCTTGCCTATACATATGGGTAACAAGAAAGACTTGGTCCTTTTAACGCCAGTGCGAAGACAATACAAAAAACGATCGCAATGGCCACAATGGGAAGAAGATTCGATTTTAAAGTAGCGATAATTATTTCAGCTTTCATTAATAGTCGTCAGCTCACTTTTATATAGGCGCGTCGATAAGAAGCGTGACATCATGCGGTAAGCCTGATTAAACGGTGTAGACAGAATTGGCTACATGTGCTACCACTTACAGCGCAGGTAGAACAGATTTATAGTCAGATGAAGACGCAGACCTAAGGAAAGTCGTACATCAACGTACTCACTCGAGCCTTCGACTCAAATTCTCTCGTTTCATGAACAATGCAACGGCTTCAGATATGCATAGTCCTTGTACCTAGTGGTAATTGAATTTCTGACAAGAATCGAACAGCACAAAGTGCTCAAGAGTCAATTGCCTCGATAAGACTTGAGCTTTTACATGCTTGACATGCGAGTCCAAGTTTATGTTTTCGTTTTGTGGTCGCGTCCATCGGTATAAACTCAGTATGAATACACGATGTAGTAGTCAACAAAACACAAACTGTGTGTGAAATTGTGGGTTACAAACCTCTACATCTGCTATTGTACTGGGAATAAAGAAATGTTGACATGTAGTCTGATAGTCTTCTCAATCATCGTATACGAGTGGTGCGCACAAAACTTGGTTGAAGATGTTAAACACATCTTGTTTCGATTTTGTTAATCGCAACGATCTACGGTCGTGTCAGCCGACGTGTGACACCGTTATACTACCAGACCGCCACGAATGTCAAATGCATCAAATCTTTACGACATATTTAAGTAAATGCTGGCGACATATTGTATCTATTTGAGTTGACCCCTAGCATATGTACATTCTTTCGCATAGTAGGCATGGTTCGTACACATTTTCATTCGTTGATCTTGTGGTGTACATCCTTATCTTCGTAGCATTTTGGCATACGCTTTTGTCTCCTTCGAGCCATCTCGATTCTGAGCAGCCTACACCAGGTTTGTTAATGGGCGCATCGTCGGACGGACGCCAAGATGGTCACGATCATTCATCCAGCCTTGTTGTGGCAAGTTATCAAACAATGTGAATATTGCAGACTATTGCTGGAATGAAAAGTACGTCGCATGACGAGTAGCATTTCAGCACTCGGTCCTGCGAGACCCGATGCATCGCTCAACACGCGGTCTTGGTAGTCACTGTGACGATATGGAATGCATGTCAATAAGTCGTGCTCCAAAAGTGATCAGCGCATCCGGCAACGAGAGGGTACCGCCCACAACCCTGGGTGATCAGCGCATCCGGCAACGAGAGTGTACCGCCCACAACCACTGGTAATGCGCCTACCAGCGATGTCTCCACGAGCGCAGCGTCAACCGAGAAACAGCAACTGACCCTCACAATTGGCCGACTTCACGGCACTAACGAACATCCCAACTTCCATCTTGCGCGGCAGTCCCGAAGATCTGTCCAGTGATGCGCACACATGATCGTACGATAATTGTTGACTTGTGATAGCACTCAATACGAGAAACAATACGTCCATAGTGTCATTTTGCAAACGCTGCGATCATGAGCAACGTCTGCACAATGCACGCGACAACGAGAACCTCCTTGTACCAAGAGATGAGCCATGAGCGGCAATGTCCACGCACGTATGCACTCGGACACATCCAAGCAGATCTGCTAGTCACATGATCTCCAAATGCGTACTTCCAAATTTTGGGGAAAAGTTGCGTGCAGCCACGTCATGCCGTCACTGTAGCGCTCTTGGTTCACTGTGCAAATTTTCAAGCTGCACACGCCTGCGCTATTCGGAATGCCGCCAAAGACTTCGGTTTCAAAGGATTGTCCCTTGTTGCCATCGTACATTGTAACTCCAAACTGGACACAGAAGAGCACGAGGCGGTACATTGCCGGCGTGCGAGGAGCGTCTTCGATCCATGCCATGTGCAGAAAAACGCTTCACCGGTCCGAGTCATCATGCTGCAACCTTCCTCGCGCGGACTCAACACCAAGTCTTTCGAGCCTGATGCCGCTCCCTTAGTGACGCGCACATAGCGCGCACTGAAGCCAGGATAGTCACTCACATCACATCGGGATAACAATGCAGCGTCCGTCGCACGGCACTGACGATACAAATGGAGCCAGCCACCCAAATGGAGTCTCGCGTCGAGCCGGTGTGTCCAATATGCGCCTCCAACGTCCACAGGCATCGACGACATCGGCGACAATGAATAAGGCAGGCGTTTGTCGCCCTAGGCATAGCATCATCTTCCAACAGACTGCACTAGTCACATCTCCGTGATTTGTAAACTGTCGACGTCGAGTCCATTTGCTTTGCCACGATCGCCGATAACCATTACCGGTGCCACGAGGACGCCTGATAGACGACTGATCACTTGCATCACCTGTACGGCAAACCGCGCCAGCAGCATGCCAAAGATCGGACCAAGGGCAGCCCCTTAAGCAGTCAGCTGGGTGTTGAGTGTTTGCTTTCGCCACAAGTACAATGATCAAAGTGCGCAAATAGTGAAGATCGTGAAACGTTCTGGCTACCTCGACGCAGTCGATCTCCTGTGCGATGACACGACTTATTGTGTTGCGATATAGTCACTCCATTGCGCGCGTACATGGTGGAGACGTGGGTTCAGAAATTCAGTGCCGTACTTCGGATCGCAGTGAACGGTTTGCGCACGAATAGCTGCGAGCAGTAAAACACTTCAGAACCAGCAGCGCGATTAGCACTCGATGCAGCGAGCTGTTGCGTCCACGAGTCCGCCAACGACATGCGACACTACTTTTGTCCGCAGGCAGTATAGCAGGGTTTGTGCAAGCTACTTCATCAGATCGCCACACATGCAAGTTGTTTCAAGTGATGTCATTTCTCTTTTTTGCTCCATTTCGTTTGGCTCATTCATCCAGAAAAGTGATCGAGTGCCACAACCGCCACGTACTGAGCGGCGTCGTGCTGCCAGACGTCGTTGATAGTCTCCTTTGCGTGTTTCCGTCTTCGAATGCATCAGAGGTCACAATTTGTAGTCAAAGATCAATACTTGGATGCTATGCATGCCAGCAACACCCAAAGTGAACGGAACGATATCTGCACGTGAGCCTGCTTCTACAAAGTGGCGTCTTATGCCGTGCCGTTGGACTTGTTTGTCGAATGCTCACGCGATTCGCGCATCGCTTGCCGCATCCTCTCCTTCGTCTGTTCTTTCAAGTTTTGGAAAAACGCCATATCGTCCTGCAGCTCTACCAGTAAGTCGTGATTCATGCCGTGCACCTGCGCTTCTCGGTAAGACTTCCGCAAATCCTGTAAAATGTCCAGTACCTGCTTTAAATGGCGCGTATCTCGATCCCGTTGCTCACTCAGCTTGTGCCACTCCTGTAGCTGCATCTTTGTCTTGCCCAATCGAATGGACTCCATCAACTGATCCGTGACGACCGTTCTACAATTGCCACATAATTGTCCATCGGCTGCCACACTCTGTGTGTAGGAATTAGCGATCCCACTAAGAATCTCCAGATCGGTTGTTGGATTGACCGACGGTTTTGTCGAAGTCGGAGGGTACTGCATCGGCTGCACGGACACAAGGTTTGGCTGCCCTCCTTCATAGAAACCCTGCAGGTCTGCTGCAGCTGCAGACGTCGCCGCAGTCGGAGTCTGCATCGTCATTGTCGGTAGTTTCCGCTTGCTCGTCATGTTCGTGATGATCTGGACTTCGCTCACGGCGTCCCCGGCATCACGAAAGCTTTCGTCGTCTTCGGTCTCGCCTTCCTCTTGTTTCGACGATTGGGTACTTTGCGTTTTCGAAACAGGGCCGTCGTTTTTGCGCAATAACTCAATGTACCCATTTTTGTTATCATTCGCGTTAGGACCCTTTTTTATGGGGCGAATGCCGCGGCGGTAGCACTCGGCACGCAGATCGTGAGCGCGATGGCGATCGTACGGCTCGTGCAGACGCTGCGAGGAATCTTTCCTTGCACCCGATTCGCTCGACAGAAGTGAATCGATGTCGCCTCCGTTGCTATGGACGTCGCCCACAAGCAACGTCGTGTCCATCGTCGCCGTTGGGTGGATGTACCTAAATGGGTACACTCCCCCGTCATACTGACACACCTCTTCGCTCCACTTAGCCAAGTTGAAGTTTGACCTGCACTCCTGTCAGAGTGAATGTCGCCACGGATGATGACACCACTTGCGACACGCGCTAGTGCATTGTGCGCCACAGATAGTGTCACACACACACGAGCTAGAGAGGGTAGCGAGTCGGTATGGCAGTAGTGACGTGCGTTACAAGTGGAGCCACAATGAGGTCAGAGACAGTACCATCTACTGATGATACACGTCGACCGTAGACAAAGGTGCGCGCCCATGCATGCACTTTGAGGTCGGAAGACAAAGCAAAGCATGGCCACAGTTCCTTCAGCAATGGCTTTTTGAGCAGACATTTGAGCTGAGATGGGTACGGAACGACCGTCGTGGAGGTGGCGAATGTGATGTACTGCAACAGTTCAGCGTCGACAACGCACCTACGAAATGGTATTTGCCGAAGCAGATGCGGACTGGAGCTATTGGTACAGCAGCTAGAGACTCGTATTGACGCTGAGCTGGTGACAGTAATTCGTTGATGCTTCACAATTGAGCTGACGCCGTCACTACCGTAGTCATGCAGTTCAAGTGCGGTGAACTGGCATTGTATCCATGTGACTGAATGCCTGAGCTCGCAAGGAGATGCAAAATATAGCTTAGCTGTACAAGATGATCGACGGACGGCGTAGCAAGAGCATACTCACCGAGACGTCGAACGAGCAAAGAGAGAGGCCCGCCATTCAACGACTATCCGAGAGAGCCTCGATGTCATAAAACGGCAGGATCTGTGCAAACACCATGTCCATAGCTCTGACAAAGAGAAGCTTCACGATCAACATCGTATCGCCACAACACGCTCTTTGACAAGTCAAGGTCCGACAGCGGAAACCCGCGAGAAATGGAGGCCACACTACCAAAGCTAACGGCAAAGACTATGATACAGAAGCTTGCGGTGGAACTGAAAATGCCGGCACTTGCTACGACCATATGATGACACACGTCAACATAAGCTGCACGATAGCGATTGGTCTTGTCCAGGGCCACAATGACCATGCCACTGAAGCACTCCATGGTTTTGTACGAGCATGGCAATTGCCAACAACGACAGGCATGCGGTCAAAGCGGCCGTGCAGAACTCTGAGCAAAGCAGCTCAAGAGTATGTGTCGTGCGGCAGTGGGCAAGGATACCAACAAGGCTGGACATGATGAGAGCTACACACGACGAGCGGTGCCGTGGATATCCGTCAATATAGCCACCACTTGCCACGATCGCAGCACGACTTGAAGGTATTGCGATGGAGCAAGCGGAAGACGTCAGTGCACTAAGCTGAAGCGCAACTCCTCTTGCGCATTGCTTCTTCAAGCAGCTTCACACACTTTACTTGAAGGCTGACGGAGACAGTGAGCCCTGCCGCACGAACATGAACCGATTCCAGGCCGTAATGTAGTGTAGGGGTCAATCAGGATGTCAAAGGGCTGGCTGTAAGCTCCTGCAATCGACACTACATGCCCGTACAGACAAACGTCAAGTCTATGTAGCTTCAGCTTAAGTCACCTCATCGTTATCGCTTTGCTCTTCGGTAACGTCTGCGCTGACCGTGGCGACAGGGTGAGTGCATCTGCTGCTTGATCCGGTATCATCATTTGAGGGGAAAAGCTGCTGCAGTAAAGCAGGATTGGAGCGACACTTCTCTTCCAGCACCTGCATCAACGTGTCAAGCTGTTTCGGGTCAGACATGTTCTCCAGCTTTGCTGTCTCTTGCTCTTTTGCGCCGTCCTGCTTCTGGACCCCATCCTGAAGCACTGCCAAGCGTCTCACGATTCCTTTACAGTGTTCGAGAATCTCTTCATGAGCTGAAAGAACACCTCGGCGCTCCAATGCCGCAATCATGACCTCCCCACTAACAGGCCCAGTCGCAGACGACGGAGGACTTTCGATCAAAGTGTGTTCAAGCAACCCCACCAGCAGCTCCGACACTTGTTCCCACACAGACGGAAAGTCGGAGCACATCTGTAGCTTTGTCAACTCTTCGCACACTACAAGTGAAATCAGCTCGACGACTACCACGCGTGGCCGAAGTGCTAGCAAGTCTCTCATTGTCGATGGACGACGTCGTCGTTCAGCAGTACCGACAGTGTCGTCGAGAAACGGCAAGTCGGTAGGAATTTGCAGCGATATCTCTCCGTCAAACGACGCCAACTGTCGCCGGTAGTGCAAGAAGGACGAGTTTTCCTCATTCTCATCGTGATCGAGATGTACCGCATGACCACAACGATCGCGATCCTTATCGTTTAGCAAGTCAAAACCGATAGGTAGCAAACCGTATCGGAGAATATCGAGCCAGGCCGCGGAATGAAACGATTGCTCAGTTCCCGTGTGCTCGCGTAGCATGTGCGTCAATGCTTCAAACGCCGCCACAACAAGGTCGTTCGAGATCTCGTGCTTCATCTGGTTCAACAGCAAATGCCTCGATACGACAGTCATGCCACCCAAGAAACGCAAGCGTTCGATCGCAAAGTCGAGTGAATCGGGATAGAGCGCGTCAAACATGAAGCACAGTAACTCAATGGGTTTCGAGGGTTTCCATGAATCGTGTGCGTCACGCCTTTTCATGGCGAACATGATCATCTTCGCGTAGCAGTAGCTGATGAGATCTTCATGACCATGTCCATTCCAGATCTTATCCATTATGAGCTGCTCGAGTAGTCCAAAGGCGTGTGAGGCTACGTAAGGTATTGTGGTCGATGAGCTGATCAAAACGCATATCGCCTCCCAGTCCATGCGTGAGTAGTGTAAATTGTTCGGCCGCACTATCGTCACATACCGATTCAGTCCGCGCATAATTGGCGTCAGAAAAGGTCGAATGAGCTCGTCATTAGCGCTTGCTTCCGTAAAGGTACCCAAGTAATTTATCAACGGCAGCCCGTTTGGATCGCCATGCGTGCAAGTCGCCCAAGCAAACAGCGCGTTTAGCGACTTGTACAACAGGAAACACGCATTTTCGTACGTCAGTCCACTTGATCGATTGTTTGTAAGTAACACCGGCCGCAAAAGCTCTAGAATCCTAGTAAAGTGAGCCTCAAGCGTAGCAGATATCCTGTCTTTATCAGCAGTGTTGCTATCAACAAGAGTGCCAGAAAGCGAGATCACCTGGCACAGGAGATGCTCGAATAACACACAGCCTCCTTGGCTAAGCGTTAGCTCCGTGGCTCTTTTTTCGTAATTTTGCGCATCAGCACCTTGCAGTGTCAACAGTATCTCGTCACACAGTGCCTCGATAACTTCAGCGAGGACACGAGGAGGCAGGCTAGCTACGTCTTGCATAAAACAGTCGACCCGGTAAGGTCGCAGTGTTGTCCGGATCCACTGGTCGGTGCCAAAGTCGCCGCCCGAGTCGTGTTCACCATCGAACGTATGTGTCGTTGGTGCATTTCGCCCAATGACAAGGTCATCCCCGTGAGAGGCGAACTCAGCCGGACTGAGCTGATTCCACTTACCCTTGAGAAATAGCTGAGAACTTCTCGTTGTACCGGACGTCGATGCTGAGCCACCAACGCTCGAATCGAGAGCTGATAGCAGCCATGCAACACCGCTGAAGAAGCCACCAGAATCGCGACTGCCGCCGTCCTGGTCTTGTGCGCTTTTCTTGTCCAGCTTTTCTTTGTTCTGGTGCACTTGGTCAATGAATACCAGGCGTTCGTCGGCCGTCATTAGCTCCAAGTTCGTGTCGTCACCAGGGTATAAGATCCAGGATGGCAAGACATGAAACTCACGTAGACCTTCAACAACGTGGAAAAGATGTTTCCACGAGCGACTACGAAGCAACAAGCTGCATGTGCTGAGGAGCTTGAAGACAGCCGCAGTCGCGACTGGAGCACTTTGGTTGTCACAATACACCCCAATGCCGTTCTCGCGGCCATTATACCCCACAGGATAAATGTCCGACGAAAGCAGTGCCGTGTACTTGCAAAGGCGGACGAACACAGAGTTGCAGTGCTCCACCAGCGACAAATGATGTGCTACCGCTGCGCACAACACAAGACCATTGCATGCAAGCTGCAGTGCGCTTTTTTGAGGGACATAGTGCATCTCGTAGCCTCTACCTACTGAGAGATCTTCGCCTCGTGTTGCATCTTTTGCGTGGGAATCCACGACGAATTGTCGAAACACGCTGCTGAATGCTTGGACAAGGTGCTGCTGAATCAGCTCGTAGATGTGGCGATCATACTGATCACTTGATGAAGCATAGGGAGACTTATGCTCATCCTGCTGATCCCACGCGTCGCTTTCGTCTGGCTTGGCGGTTTCATCAGCGGGACTGAAAACACTCGTCATTTGTCGGGTCTGCGTCACTGATTGTATCATACCCGGTGCTGGTGGTGACGCTGAGCCTTCGGCAGCTCCCATACTTCGGGTGCTCAATAACTGAAGACGTAACGACGGATGGAGTGTGATCAAACGCGAATTGCGCGGGTCGCTTTCTGCTCGATTGAGCAAGTCTTTCCATCGAACGCTCGTCACCTCGCCGTATTTGCCACCGTCTTCGAACGTCTTAATCTCATCTTTTGCAATGGCGCTGTATAATTCCGTCAAGAAGTCTTCAGGCAAATCGAGGCCATCGGACACTTCTTGACCATAGTTTTTGTTGTTCTTGATGAAATCAGCTAGCTTCATTTTCTTGTCACCTCGGATGTTCAGATTGTGCAAATCTGTGTTTAGCATTATCAGACTGAATGACAGCAAATATGCCACGTCCACTGAAGCCATGATAAATCGTTCTCGGCACTGATCATACACTTGGAGCGAAAAGGCGTTGAGTATGCGATCAATTTGTTGGGCCTCTCCTGGAAGACGAAAACTGGCGAGGAACATACGCAGCGCAGTAACAATGCTCTCTCCCTCAAAATTGAACGACCGGACAAAGTTGGTAAGAACGTCGCGATGGAAGTCGATAGTGTCGGCTTCGTGGATCTCGTCTTTTTCAAAGCCCTTGACTTCCTTACCCATTGCACCCAAGTATACACCGACTGAGGTTTTGTTTAAACCTTGAGGAAGGGATCGCAGGAACGCAGCAAAGGACGTGCTATCAAGCGGGATAGGCAGAAAGCCGTTTTGCTGCAGGTACTTGATTCCTGCCAATGGCTTTCGATTGAACTCCTGAATGCCGCGTTGGAAGAACTTTTTACGTTGTCGCTTCTTGTGTAATGCTTCGGCAGAGACTAGCTCTTCCGTACCAGCTGGTACGCACTCGTCGTCCTGATCAATTACAGACGCATCCTCATTGTCGCTCAACTCGCTGCTCTTGTCACTACCTAAAGCAGGCGTGTTTTGCTGTGTACGTGTATACATGACGTTAAGTGAATTAAACATTCCACGAAGGGCAATCTCCCCAATCGCCTGAGCCCAAACAAAGTGCGATTCTTCGTGCGACTCAAAGCAAGCAACGTGGGACTGCTGAACCACCTGCGAAAGTAGCCCGAATAAAGTCTGCGTCAAGTCACAGCGGTTGTCGTCGCAGTCGTAGTTGACATACATGTCGGTCAGTAGCGTCGCCTCGGCAAGCAAGTCCACCAAGCAGTCAAAAATTTCAAACGAGATGCTGTACAACTGGACTTTGGACAACATGTCGCCGGTAAAATCGTCGAGCGCACAGTCAACTAACGCAGGAGCGTTGTCGCCGGTCAGACTATCTGTGTTTTCAACGGATAGAGCTGCATCATCTCCACGCGGAAAATCCGGGTTGTTGACATTCATGTTTGATAGACACCAGTGCAGTGTGTGGTAAAACACGCCACTGAATATTGCCTCGACTTGCATTTTGAGCTCGGAGCGGAGCTTTGACCACAACAGTCGGATCAGTTTGAGACAAGCGATGGAAATGTTCAGCTCCGCGCAAGCGCTACACACAAGCATCGTAAGAATGAGACCAACACACGAAAGCACGATCCAAGACGCACCCCAGACGACAGTAGCGTAGAATGGCGCTACACAAGTCATCCTTGATAAAAAATATTAGCGATGGTACACCCGCCATCAGTGCGGCGTCGCAAGCGACCAGCGCACGCTCGAGCAAGTTGAGCGACAACAGCACTTCGCGTTGGCTGCTCGTGCTCCCAATAGACGATGCAGTGGCATCCGAATTGGGAGGTGACGGTTCGTTTCGCTGGTGTAACTTCTGGCATAAGAAGCCCATGATTTTTACTGCACACGGCAGTCCAAATCCGGGTCTATGTGATGACGTGATATCAGCAGCGAGGACGGAGTCTGCATAGATGACAGGGCTGGAAAACACAAACGTGATTGTATCGTGCAGGAAGTTTATGGTGGTCGAGCGCAACGGCAGCGTGATGCGTGACTGTATCAATCACATAAAACATGAGGGACAACCAATCAGTACACCTTTGCCTGTTCTAGCCACTAGACTGCAAATACTCAAGTGAGCAGTGTCACACGTCGCACATTATATTGACTGCCACGATGGAGAGCGTAGAGTGACTCTACGAGTTGCCACATCGAGTGGTCCGACAGTCGAGCGCCGTACGGCGAGCGGATGACCGCGTGCAGCACATGAGCGACAAGCACTAGCGCGTTCTGGTCACCCTCGATGCTTTCTTCGTGAAACGTGCAGTGGCTCACCGCATCCACAATGTCGGAAATAGTGTCTGCTGCTGCGTTCTCGTCCTGGGCGTCTACCCACGGCCACAACTGCACAAAACTCATCACTGCTTGCAGTGCAGCCGTCGTTACTATACTACTAGTGTAGTCGTGTGATATCACATCGAGGAACGGCTTCGCGACCAGCATGGGCGACAGTTCGGCCACATCTGTCGATGTAAAAAGCAAAAAACCGAAAACGTCGTGTCAAACAGCAGTTCTCGGGTCAACGCTGTCATCACGAACGACGCTGTACGCACCACGGCAAAAGACAAGACGTTCACGAAGACGCAGGAGACTCTGAAAGACCGCTACGGGGCTCTCCTATATTCAGTATATACAGTCACATGAGCACGTAACGATTAGTCGTCTAGTTGTAGACCCTCTTTACGCCAGTACAAACACACACATATGTCCGTACTTTCTCCGCGTCTTCAGCGGTAGTTTTCGACAGCAGGTACCCATGTTGATGGCGCACGAGGCTCAAGACGTGCTGGATGTCGCTCAAGAGCACGGCCCGCACGGCCCCCATCTCTCTTGGCACGAAAAAGGATTGTTTCTGTCCTTGGACCTCCGACCCGCCTGCTCCGGAGTGCGACGGCTATGTCGACCACACCAATGTCGTGTGGTGCACACTAACTTCACACCCCACACCCGTTCGTGGGTCGTGTACACCACACGACACTCGACACACACACTTGACGCGACCAATACGTCCGCTTGACGCCTGCCATGCACGTCGTGGCGCTCGTCAGCGGCGGCAAGGACAGCTGCTACGCCATGATGGAGTGCGTGCGGTTTGGCCACGAGATAGTCTGTCTTGCGCATCTGCATCCACCCACTCATTTGCCCGCAGACGACGCCGAGATCGACTCGTTCATGTTCCAGAGTATCGGGTACCAGACGGTGGAGCTCATTGCGGCAAGTATGGAGCTGCCGTTGATCTCCCAGACGATTACGGGCACTGCAGTGAAGACGGAGATTGACTACTACGAGTCCGTTGCGGGTGACGAGGTGGAAGACCTCTTCCGTCTGCTGCAGAAGGTCAAGCAGCAGTTCCCAGACGTTGAGGGTGTGTGTGCGGGCGCAATTTTGTCCAACTACCAGAGGAATCGCGTGGAAAACGTGTGCGTAGGCATTTTTTGGTGTGATGGATGTAGCATGCGACAGAAAGATACAGTGCTGACGGCGGTGATGCACAGGTGCTCGCGGCTTGGACTGACGTCGCTTGGCTACTTATGGCGCCGCGAGCAGATCGAATTGTTGCAGGAAATGATTGACTCGAACGTGCACGCTATTTTGGTCAAGGTGGCTTCCATCGGTCTGAATGTCCAGCAGCATTTGGGAAAGACGATTGCAGAGCTGCAAGGACAACTCTTGTTGCTGGTATAGTATGATTCTAGTCGTCATGAAACGCTGGTTGTCCCAGCAGCTTTTTGCTTGCTCCTATAGTGAGTATGACTTGTTGATGTCCTCCTTGTTACCGGCGATGTTGTGCAGAAAGACAAGTACCAGCTGAACGTCTGCGGCGAAGGCGGGGAATACGAGACATTTACTCTGGACTGCCCGCTTTTTAAAAAGCGCATCGTCATGTAGGTATTTGCGGTGTCATATATCTTGCGCTGCTTGGGCACTTATGATGTTGTGATTTGTGCGATACAAGCGATGAGAGCCATACGGTGCTACACTCGGATGACTATGTAGCTCCAGTAGCCTTTTTGTCGATAGACAAGTCCCATCTGGAAGACAAGGAGCCTGTGGACCCGTCACAAATAGCCTCTCGGATCCCAAAACCTTCGCTTTGGCACCGATCAAGCAGTGCGACGAACTCGGACAAAAAGCCTGCTACCGTGCTTGCAATCAGCCCGCAGTCTGCAACGAAATTTGTCCCTGCTTTTGGTCGTTTCCGCGACCAGCTGCATCTGTCAGGCATCATGAGCAGCAGGGCTGGCGATGCGTCAGTGTCGCTGAAAGAGGAGATGGTTGACATTTTTGGCCAGCTGGAGACCATTCTTAGGAGTCAAAACATGGTGAGAGCAGACGTGTGCTTTCTGCACCTGTATGTCCAGGACATGGCCGCGTTTCGTCAGCTCAACGTCGAGTACGCCCGATACTTTGGACAAAACCTGCCACCGTCGCGTTGCTGCGTCGAAACGCAGGCATTGTCGAACGTGCCTGCCCGCGTGCTGTTGGACTGTTTCGCGTTGCGTGGCAGTGGGGAGCAAAAGCTGCAGTCACTGCGTGTACGTCGCGACGTCCTACACGTGAAGAGTGTATCGACCTGGGCGCCGTGTTGCATCGGCCCGTACAGCCAAGCGAATGTGCTTCACAGAGCCCTCATTTTGTTAGCGGGTCAAATTGCGTTGTATCCACCGACCATGGACCTCGTGCCAGGCGACCAAGCCGCCCAGACAACGCAATGTTTTCGCAACGCCTGTCGTGTGCTGGAAGCCCTGCAGTCTAATCTCCGGCACGTGTGTTCTGGCGTGATTTACACTGCTGGAAGCTCCGACGATCGAGAAGCTCGAGACTGTTTGGCAGCTGCAAGCCGCCACCATCTCGTTTCGAACGCAGGACTGGACGATGCATTCGAGTGGGTTGACGACAGTGATGAAAGCGATGACGAAGTGAGCAAAAGTGATGCGCGTTTGGCGTTCGTAAAACAGGCTCCTCTACTGGTTGTGCAGGTGTCGAATCTGCCGCGCGGTGCTTTGGTCGAAATTGAGCTTCAAGCACTCACGCATAGTGCGCTAAAATACTTGGTGCCGCGCAGCTTGCTGCGTTCACGCCGTTCGAACGACCTTTGTTTCGACTGGCAGGTTGGCATGATTCCGAGAGCTCTTTGCCAGATCGTGTGCACTGCGTCAGTTGAAAACAGTGAACGGTACTCCGATACACGAGCGTTGGCGAAGGCTGTCGCAGAAGGGATCTGGGCTTGCGTGCTGGACAGCCTGGTGGAAGCCTTGATGCCTTGGGACCGCGTGATTTTCGTGCGCACCTTTTACGTGGCAACTGCTTTCTCGAGCGAGGAGGAGCTGGCCAAGACGTACTACGAGACTGTGACAGCACAAGGTAAAGTCAACAGCATGCCTGGCATGACGTTTGTTCCTGTGGATGCTGTCCAAAGCGATGCAGTAGTCGCACTGCAAGTGACGGCGCAGGATCTGGATAAACTGGAGACAGAGCTCTGGCTGCACAAACAAATTTAGACAACAGCTACTTATGCACTCGTGCAAACGGCCTAAGTATCTCAACAAGTTACGACACAATCTTGTATGATGCTGTCCTGCCAGAATGAAGTTGTAGTCACTTGCATGCTCATCGTCTATTGCCGCCCCGTTTATGACGCTGGTCACCCGAAACTCGAGTTCCGCCAGAGCTTTCGTCTCGATCTTTGCGCTTACGTGACTCACGGTCTCGGGATCGCGAACGCCCGTCTCGGTCTCCTCGACTGCGTCCTCCCCGTTCTCGGTCCTGAGCTCCTACTCCACCAGCTTCACCTCCTCCACTACGTTCGCGTTCCCGAGGGCGGCCTTCGCGATCACGATCAGGGCCGCTATTTCGGCCACGGCCACCATCACGATCTCGGCCATTACCACGGTCTCGCCCACCATCGCGATCGCGAGGACCATCCCGACCGCGGCCACTACCACGGTCTCGGGCAATACCACGATCGCGACTGTTGCCAGCGTCTCGACCACTATCGCGGTCTCGGCCAGTATCACGATCTTTGCCGCTGTCACGGTCTCTGTTACGGCCACCGTCACGACCTGCCTCACGGCCACCGTCACGAACTACCTCGCGGCGACCGTCACGACTTCGTTCGCGGTCACGGTCGCGCACGTGCTCTCGATCTTGGTCTTTGTCACGTTTTTGGTCCTTCTCATTATCACCTTTGCCTTCATTTCCATCTCGACGCCCACTGCTCCGCGAACCATCTCGGTGCGGACGGTCGCGAGGTCTAGATCGATCGCGACTTGCCTCTCTTCTCGCGATCGATCTGTCGTCTCGTTCATCTTTCCCATTACGCATCCGACCGTCAAAGCCGCCCCGACCACCACCACTACCGCGGCCTCTACCGCCGCCAGGTCCACCCATCCAGGGAGGTCCTCTTCCCGGTCCAGAGTTCCACGGTGCTCCCATGGGAGGCCCATTCCAGGCCTGGTGACCCATAAAGCTTGGCGGGGGCCCCATTCCAGGGTGCCATCCCCTCGGCGGTTGTCCTCCCATGAATCCGCCCGAAGCTCCTCGGGGCGGTGCTCCACTCATTGGAGGAATCCCATCAGCGCCCCAATCAGCCACTCGAGCACCTGCATTCGGGTCGTCTCTGCCTTCGCCCTTCATCGACTCAAGGAATCCACGACCAGGCATTTCTCCTCCGCGTCCTTGCATTTTCGCATCCCGGTCACGGATCGTTTGCTGCTGATTTGCGGCACTCACAGCCTGTCGTGAAGCCTGTTCTCTCGACCTCTCGACTGCCAAGTCGCGTCTCAGTTTCAGCTGTTTCGCAGCATACTCTCTCCAGCTGTGCTCATCAAAGCCGTAATTAAAGTAATCCGAGATATCCACGCCAGGTTTGCGCCACGGCCGGTCCTCCAACAGGTCAATGTCCACGTCAAAAGCCGTGCGGCGACCACCAAACATGGCCATATCGTCCACGCCGTCGGTCGCCCCTGCACCGGACTCACCCGCCTGTGCGCTCGTCCCACTGCCAGTCCCTGCAGCGCCAGCGCCACCATGTTGCGAGCTGCCAAAGCTGCCCCGTACGTAGCGGTTCCCGCCTCCTGTGAACCGCAGCGTGGGTTTGCTGCCTGCGTGGTCCGTACTTAGCACAATCGCCACGTCTTCATCTTCGTCGTCGTCGTCGTCGTCGTCTTCATTTTTGACCGCGACCGGCGCGTCTTCGTTCGACTTGGACGCCGCGTCTCCATCTTTTGCAGTGTGGTTACCGCTCAACGCTGCGGCGGACGCTTTTGCGGCTTGGGACGTGGCCGACGCGTTCAATTGGATCGAGACGCCGCCGTAGAGCTCTTCGTCCTCGTCTTGCTCCGGCTCGTTCTTCGGCGGCTCGACTTTGACCGACGCCTCGGCACTGACTTCCCACGTCGCTCGAGAGTCCTCTGTCTTGGCTTCTTCTTTGATGTGGACGTCGCCTGCGCGCGTCGTCACGAGTACGTCCTCGCCAAAGTCCTCGTCGTCCATGTGGCCGACTGCTTACTGGCAAAGAGATGTGGTCGTTTAACGTCGGGTGCTAATTGGATACAATAATTATAGTACTGTAGTAGCAGTAGGAGAAGTAGCAGCAACTGTACTAGCCGTTGCAGTAAAATGAGCAAGAATAGTAGTAGTAGTAGTAGTAGTAGTAGTAGTAGTAGTAGTAGTAGTAGTAGTAGTAGTAGTAGTAGTAGTAGTAGTAGTAGTAGTAGTAGTAGTAGTAGTAGTAGTAGTAGTAGTAGTAGTAGTAGTAGTAGTAGTAGTAGTAGTAGTAGTAGTAGTAGGAGTAGTAACGGCAGTGGTAAAAAGACTAGTAGAAGCAGGAGTAGCTGCGTTAGGAGTACCAGATTTTATAGTAGTAAATCGAGGTACGAATATAGTTGTAGCAGCTGTATGTGGACTAGACGCTGTGATGAGAGTTCTACAATGTACATATTTTGCGGTACAGATACTACTATCGATGCGTGTATGTACGCACATCGGTACGGTGCAACTATCTGTACGACCAGACCCAGCGGGTCGGGTTCGACCCGTCTCGCGACACCTCGATGCGTACTTACTCGAGTTTCCAGACCCAGCGCGGGTACGCTTGCGACCGTGATTGGCCCGCACGACGCCTACTTTGCTCTTTGTATGCTCGAGCCCCCGCGGCCAATAGTTTGTGGCATCCCCGAGTGCCCCACCTCGTCCAGTTCTTCTTGTCTCGTTCGACTTTGCAGGTGAGTGCTGTGCCAATGGGAACGACAACGACCACAGCATTAGGTCGAAGCAGCAGCAGAGAGAGAGAGAGAGAGAATGGGAGAGCCGCAATGGCACAATGGACAGGAGACAAGAGGGTGCACTACTAGAGACGACACGGCCATTTGATCTGTGAGCTGCAAAGCCCATAGCTGCAGCAGCTCCAGTGGTTTACGACCGCAGCAGGTGGAGCGGTCATCAGCGGTCAATGAGACTGCGATACGAAGTGCTCTCTGCTGACCCAATTGCTCTCTCAGCAGCTCGTCGATTGCTGCGTTGTGCTTGCACTGCTCTCCTCTCTCTCTCTCTCGACGTTGCAGTCGCTCTCCTGTCGCTCTACTACTGCTGCGCTAGAAACCGGCCGAGTCTAACAGCGTTGTGGATGTGTCGTTCGTTGCTGCTGCACAGCTTAGTCCAACATGCCGCACTCGTTTGGTTACCGCGCGCGTACGCGCGACATGTTTGCGCGTCCGTTCCGTCAGAGCGGCATGATCAAGATGTCGACGTACCTGCGGACGTTCAAGGTCGGTGACTACGTGGACATTAAGGCGAACGGTGCCGTGCAGAAGGGCATGCCCCACAAGTTCTACCACGGCCGCACGGGTCGCGTGTACAACGTGACGCGACGTGCCGTCGGCGTGCGTGTGAACAAGATCGTGGGCAACCGCATCATCCACAAGCACATTAACGTGCGCATCGAGCACGTGCACCAGTCCAAGTGCCGTCTCGGCTTCCTCACGCGCGTGAAGGAGAACGAGCTGAAGAAGAAAGAGGCTCGTTTGACGGGCGTCCGCGCGCAGATTAAGCGCGTGCCGGCGCAGCCCAAGGCCGCCTACACGTTGAAGACCAAGGGCACCACGCCAATCACCATGGCGGCACAGCCGTTCGTGGACCTCATGTAAGCAGGAGCGGTGCGGTTCATCTTTGCTTGATGGCATGGAAGCACTTGCTGCACTTTGTTGCGAGGTGCGGAAGGGCACTTGGTGCCAGCACGTCGTAGTCACCTCCAGGGGTGGAGCAGAATGAAAGAACGAGTCGAATGTGCTGCGTCGTGTCTGTATGTTCACACACACTCTCTCTCTCTCTCCCTCTCTCTCTTATCTTCTTCATATGATTCCACTCCTCTATCGCTGCTATTGCATCTGCACGACGGCGATCGGCTGACAAAAGGTGCCCATCATTGTCGCTCGTCGGAAACGATCCGGTCGAGTTGAGAGATCTCCCACTCGTTTCGAGATATTCCACTGGTTTGTGTGGGACATGACCTACATGACTGCTCGTACTTTGCTCACAAGGGATCTTCAATACGCAGGAAGATGGAGGAGGATACAGCAGCTATGGAGCACTATGTCGATGTACGATCTTCCGTTTGAAGTACATCGGAGAGAGCGAGTGCATTGGACCCGAATGACACTCTCATTGCGTCTGCACGTGTTCCTCTTTTTTTATCATTGTGCTGTGCTGTCTAGTGGCTGAACGCGTTGGAGCAGACGGACCCAGACGGCTACCACCGCGCTATTGAGACGTTGCAGAGCCAACTTCAGACTGCTGACTCTGGGGTCAATACCGTCTCTGGAGCACCGAAAGGTTGTGCAAATGAACTGCTGTTGTACACGTTCAGTCAGAAGTTCTTAGTAGCTCATAGCCACAGTTCTCTTGTGTCGGAAGCTACCGGCTGCTTGTCGTCATAGCTCTTGTAGCTACTGATAACGTTGTTTTGTGATTTGACCAGCGTTCAAGCCCCGTTTTCCTGGTGACAAAATCATGGAGGAGGGTGGCTTGCAAGCTGCGATGGAAGGGGTATGTGCGACGTGTTTTTTTGCGTCAGCTTGGCGCGTTCGAGCAATCTGGAGCTTGACAGAGAGCTGAGCTAGTACGCATCTGCTCGTGGACAGGTATACGTGGAAGTGAAAGCTGGTTTTGCGATCAAGACAAGGGATATGAAGACCAAGGAAGAGGTACCTATCGATTGCTCGTGCGTTGTATCTCGAATCCATGGTGCAAAGCTTGCATGGATATCAAACTGTGCGATGCAAAGCTTGCATGGATCTCGAACTGTGCGATGCAAAAATGATGGAATGCGCGGTGCTCTGCTAGGTGTTTGTGAATGTAGTCTCTGCAGACGAGATTCAAGAGTTTTCGGAGAAGAGAAAGCTAGACGACAAAGGCAAGGAGCACGAGGTAATGGCTTTGTCACGGTGCACTGCTGCAAGCATCGCTGAGCTGATCGATACAAGCTGCTGTGTCTGTATAGGGCGTTCATGTACCATTGAGCCTGAGTGCGCCGCATGAGGTGAAGGACGAGACGGGAGCAAATTCTACAGCGTTTGATGTGGCTGTGAACACGAAAGTTGTCGAAGGCTGTAAGATCGACGAAACCGGCACGTTTTGCCACTTTGTTTGCGAGCTAGCGATCGAGTACGTCGGTCGGAAGGTAAGCCTGCGATTTCACCGACGTTGAACGCGTATTGAGCCAACAAAGTGACACGTTTTTTGGTTGATGCAGTACAACATCAAGCTCGATGATCGCTACGAAGTGCAGCAGTTGGCATACCGAGGGCAACTGCCTCCGCCAAAGCACTACATTCGCAAAAAGCAGGCGCCGATCATCGAGGAAGTCACCACAACTACGTTAAAGAAGCCCCGCGTCTTTGAATCGACAGCACCAGAAGTATCGAGCGCGTCACATGCAGCTACGGCATGCTACGATCTGTTTGAAGAGCGCGAAGGCAAACGAACTGTTTGTCAACGATCTTCTGCGGTTGCGAAGGACAGCACGCCATTATCACCCGAGATACTGCTGCACTCGGGCGACCGGTTGATCGTCTCGATTCAATTCGAGAACAAAGTGCATGCAGCTAGTCACGTTGAGGTCGAGTTACAAGCTGAGTTACTGACGGTCAAAGCCGCCACGCATCGCGAAATGGGTAAGTCTGCAATGCTCGTGCGCAGTGGTGTGACAGATCATTCATTCCCTGTTGCCGTGTTCTAGAGATCTTTCTGCCTTACCCTGTCGAAATCGACTCGCCGACAGTTTGCTTCGACCAGGTCCGCAACAGAATGGACATCACCCTTCTGATTGACAAGTCGTGGGATACTCTGGGACCGGACTGCGGCTCAGCTTCATGGCTTCTTGCTCGAAAGTTGGCCGAGGAAACCAACTTGCAGGTTTCGGGAAGTGAAGGTAGGTCGGCCACGACTGCCGACTGTATCAGTGGGACGCCAAAGACGTTGGCGGGGATGTTCTGCCTTGCCAATACTAATCGACCAGGTTGTGGCAATGCACCCACGATACAAGCTAGCAGACGATGGGACCCTGTCATGAATGATGCTGGAGAGCTGCCACAAGACCAGTCTCATAGCAAGAACGTGCTGTCCATGCGCACCTTGGAGCAGCAGCGGACGGAGCGCGAGCAAAAGGAAAACATAGAAGAGACCGAACTTGCGCAAGAATGTCCTACGGCAAAGGAAATGCAGACGGAGGCACAAAAGGTGGAGGAGTTGCATACGAATGAGCCGGAGATGACTTACCTTGACGTCGAAGACATTGTGCGACAAGAGGAAGCAAGACTTGGCTGCTACATACAACAACAGCAACAGGAACCAGAGGACCCTGAAAAAGGGTACATGTCTGTGGAGGACGCAAAGCGAGTAGCAGCCAATTGGTCCGAGAACAACAGCACGCTCGATTTGCAATCGGCCTTGGCGTTCGATTTGCTTTGAGACGCTTTCACAATACCCAGTCACCGGTCTAGTCTTTCTTAGCGTAGTCACGGGCCCCAAAGATGGTCGAACCGACGCGAACGTGCGTGCTGCCGCACGAAATCTAAGCCCAACAAATACAAACCCAAGCGAGAAACAGTGAGTACCTCCTCACAATAACTTCCATGCCACTGATTGACAAGTGCCAAGCACCCGCCCTTACTGCGAGCTCGAAATCCCCAGACATGCCCATGCTGACAGCCAAGTCCGTCTCAGCCTTCCCGATCGCCTCTGCCACGTTCTTCCGACAGGCCACCAAGCGGTCAAAGCACTCGGACGTCGTGTCGCCGTAGCGGCCAATGGTCATCAGCCCCGTCAGGGTCAGGTGCTCACAGGAGCTCGCGATATGGCGGGCCAGCTCGACCGAGCCCTCAGCGTCCACGCCGGACTTTTGCTCCTCTCCGCTCGTATTGACTTGCACCATCACATTGAGCTTTGCCGTGCGACACTCCCGTGACGCTTTGTTCAGCGCATTTGCAATCTTGACCGAGTCAACCGTCTCGACCATATACAGGTTCGGTACATCACGCACGAGTGCTTTGGCCTTGTTCGACTGAACGTGGCCAATATAGTGCCACTTGACATCAGAAGGCAGCTGCGGCGCTTTTTGCACCAGTTCCTGAATCTATCGTCATCAGTGAAACAAAACAGAGCGACAACAGCACCATCAGCAGCATAAACAAAGTGCTTTTATCGATCGGTCGATCGACTGGGCAGTGGTCCTACATAGTTTTCGCCAAAGTGGCGCTGGTCGGCTTCGTACGCTTCCTGCAGCTCCTCCAGTGGCTTCGTTTTGCTCACGGCCACGAGCGTACATTGCTGCTTCCACGTGCTTTTAGCAAGTGCGTCTGCGATCTTGGCCCGCACGGCCAGCAAGTTTGTCGTCACGGTCATGCGAGACGGTCTCTAGTCGAGCACACGGTGGCGTCGCTTGCTATAAAGGACGAGGTGATTCTTTTAGGCTGTCGCAAGACACTAAATTAGGACCACGTGGAAACGTCGGACACGAATGAAGCGCAGGCTGTATGAACCATCGTGCGGAATCTGAAAAACAACGAGTGTGATTTTACACAATTGACTCGTTTCGCTGTGTGCAGTAAGAAACAAAACCGCACTTCGGGAATCTGGTCATTACCGAGTCAATGGTATACGACAAACAAGCGCTTGTGATACAGTATCCACCCGACGTGCTGTAGGTCGAATCGACATTGACTGCGCTTTCGATCGCCACGCTCGTTCATTTGCTATCGCTTGGTGTTGATGCTAGGCTTTTCTGTAGATAAGCGGTATGCCTTTTTCGAGCTGATTCGCTGGCAGTATGGCATTGAGATGCTCCCACTGAACGCTCATAGGTATGCTAGCTCGTCTTCGGCTACCAAACGTCAGCGACTTACGAACCCGTATGAACACCGCAAGCGGTCACGTCCGCGACAATAGATCTGCTTCACTTCGCGGGGATCTGTATGATAGAGCACCCATCGAGCGTTTACTTCTTCACGACGTATCGTTTGAGCAGCTGAAAAGACATGTAAGTGTTTCTTGCGAATCATCATAGTCATTGAAGCAAAGGCGGATGGCACAAGCGAATGCAATGTGTCTAAAGCAACCGACATTCTGATCGGAAGGATGTTGTCTCGGCATCACCACGTAAGTTTGTCCCGCTTTCGCAGTCTATTTTGTAGCAGCTTCTGATGGGAACGACGATAAAAGTAGACAATGTTAACTGAGCAGTCTTCGCTCTTTTGCCAACACTTCTTGCCCGCATATAGCCACACATATATCCATCTCGTGAGTTGTAGCTCCTGTTTGACCACATCACATCCAATGGAACGTCGAACACAAAGTTGCCAAAAGATGGGGACGATGGAATTGCATACAATCTATACTACGCGTTATGGCACTAGGTTTCTATAGTTACCGCTGCTGCAAGTCGTACCGAGAGACGTACACGGCAATGGTCAACTCCGCAGACTGATCAATCCTAACCAAGTTGTTCAGCAAGCGCTGTCTCGAATGAGTACCCAGTGGACTCTTTGGTACTGAGGACAGTCACTTGCTCGGACTGCTGACTGCTTCTTGCTACCTGTCCCACGAAGGACTTGTGCGGCGTAAGCTGCCGACCAACACATGGAGTATTTTGCTCATGAGGTCACGCATTCCGCCTCTTTTGTCGAGTTACGAGCTCCTGTCTGTAACGGGGTGAGCCCGTTACATAAAAATTGATACGAAAGTACCAAGTTTTGAATATTATCTGTTTTGATAATATTCAATCAACATCACTCGAAATGAGTGATGTTGTCGGATTATTATCGCTAAGGATAATATCCGTGGAGGGGTCCACTTCTCGGTTGATGTACGGTGTACATCAATCAACTCAACCACCAATCGCTGCTGGACGCGCGCAATGGGCGGTGAGCAAGGGACCCACATAGGAGAAGATAGTTTAATATAGTTAGAGTCAGTCAAACGATGATTTATTAACGTTATAACTATATTAAATAAACAGTTCTACTTTTCCCTCAAGACAGAGCTTTCGGGTTCTGTTTTGCCTACCGCTTCCTCGGTTGCCCTGTGTACGCTTGTCGGGCACACGTCACCCTTGCGTTAAGTTCACACAAGGGGTGTGCCCCGTTACACCTGGTAGCACTTTGTAGTCCTTCCAGCGACCAATAATCTCATCCATCATGAACATGATGGATGAGGAAGAAAGCTTTCACGCGACGCGTGAAGGCTTTGCCCATTTGAGTGATCTCGAATGGGCCGCGGTAGGGCGAATGAGCTCTACCGTGGGCGACATTGGCGTTACCGCTATGTTGGAGTCTCTTGACAGAGACCAACAGCATGCCTCCATCGCCAGGTTCATTCAATATGAACTTGCTACCGAACGGGAGAAAGTAGCCTTGCTTCACCAGCAAGGCTCTCAACAGGCCGAGCAGTTGAGAGAACTCGGTGCTCAACAGACAGAGCTGTTGAGACAGCAGCAATTTAATGCTGCTGTGGGCGGGACGACGCATGCGCGTCGTCCCGAAATCTTGAAGGTTGATATCTCCAAGTACAGAGGAGTCGAGGAAGACTCCCTGTTATTATGGTTCGTCGAACTCGACAGAGCCATAAAGGCACGTCGTATCGACGATGAGCAAATGAAATTAACATTTGCTCAATCCCATTTGGCGGGACGTGCCAAGACTTGGGCCTTAGGGCTGGAGATGAGCGACCCATATGCTTTTGAGTCGCTCGAATCCTTCAAAACCCGGCTCAAACGTACGTTTGAGCCGCCAAGAGCAGAGTTCAGAGCTCGATCGGAGCTTCTGAAGCTCAAACAGGGTAAGCGTGACGTGCACGCTTACGCCCAACATATACGACTCCTTGCGAGTAGTATAACTGTCAACCCAGTGCGATGAACACACGTTGATTACTGTGTTCATGCAAGGGCTCGCAGAGGGGCCCGTCCGAAATCACCTGTTCCGTCTAGAGTTGGATACTCTAGAAGATGCTATCTCAGCAGCGGAACAGGAAGACTTTAGCATGAGACAGGCTCATGCTAGCTCAAGCTCATATCGTCCACCGAGACGACAAGAGTCCGGAGGTCCAGAACCAATGGACCTCTGTTATGTCGAGAGCGAGAGACCTCGCTCTTCAAACAACAAGCGATTGCAGAAATGCAATCGCTGTCAGAAGTTAGGACACTACGCATACGAGTGTAGTGCTCCACGCCCAGTACCAAACAGTACTGAGCGAAATGGACGACCATTTGCCAAAAAGGGCAATGGGCGTGGGTCCAGCGCTGTTGCGAAGCCGCAACAGCGAGACGGACCATCAAAAAATGGTCGGGGTCAGTAGGGGCGGAGCGCCCTACTGATCCAGCAACCTCAAGAGAATTTGCAAATCTCTTGACGAAAGTTGCTCCAGATACACAATCATTGTGTGTCTCTGCACCTGGTGATGACGTTTCGCTCATCACCTTGAAGTTGGAAGCGACAAATGATTTGTCGCTTCGTGCCCTAGTAGACTGTGGGGCGTCGAACAACTTTGTTCGACGCCAGTCACTAGAGGGTCGTAGGCTCAAGTTCGTTGAGCGCGACATTCCCCTCACGAGGATGACGGTGCGCCTTGCAACAGGCGCATCGATTACCGTTGAGAAACGTGTAGTAGGAATCCACTACACGTTAGAGGGCGAACAGTACGATGATGACTTCATCGTACTAGATCTGGATGACAAATTTGATGTCATCCTGGGATTACCTTGGCTCAGAAAGTACGAGCCAAGAGTGAGCTGGCAGCATCGATCCGTGAAGATGCCTGCCGCTTGTTCATCAGATGGCCATCTGATGAACATCTTGGAGCGTCCACAAGCGTGTGGATGTTCTGCGAGTGAGTGCGATGGCCTCACTTGCGGTACGGTCGTTAGCACGACTGCACAAGATCACAGTGTAGTTGATCACTACACTGTGGAGCAAGCTCCCGGCGGCTGTACAGAAGTACAGGCGGCGCCGAAGGTCCACCACTCGAATAAGTCGAGTGGACCGGGACATGGATGCATGCCTAGCGGGCAGCATCTTAGAAGAAAGAAACCTGTTGCCTCCAAAGGGCAACATGGACATCCTAGGTCGACTGGAGAGTCGACCGTAGAGGATCGGTCCCTGACTGTGGTTGCACAGCCACAGTCAGAAGACGTCGAGGGAATAAGTCCCCACGTACTTGAGGAAGGAATTCCTCAAGAGTCACTTGCTGAAGGATTAGGCCCTCAGCAACCTGTGAAAGCAAGTTCCCAGGAAGAAACCGAGACGTTGAACGTCTTGGTCAATGACGGATCAAGTGTAGGCGCTTATACGCTTGATCTGATTGTGCCTCCGAAGTTAACTTCGGAGATAACTCAGTTGCCAACGCTAGAACCGAAACGGTTCTTGCGTGATCTGCGTAGTGGCAAAGTCAAGCAGATCTGCATACTCGTCACAGAGGATGAGTATGTGGCCGATATTCGGTCGGCAACAGTATTTGCTGAGAGCGAACGGGTTCTCAGCAGCTCATCGATGGACGAAAGTGTCCTCGATGAGAAGACTCGGATTGAGCGATACGCGTCTCAATCCTGGGAGTCACTTCAGGCAAATCCTTTGTATAAGGATTTGATCGAATTCAAGGATGTGTTCCCTGAATCCGTACCTTGCGAGTTGCCTAAGGACAAAGGCACTCGACACGAGATCGAGCTCAAACCGGGCTCGAAGTACTGTGTCATGAAGCAGTGGCCACTGCCTCGTGAACAAGTACTAGCGATCGACAAGTTCTTTGCCGATCGCTTAGCAGCGGGCCATGTGAGGGAATCAACATCCCCTCACAGCTCTCCGACCTTCTGTGTGCGAAAGGCCACAGGAGGATGGCGGATAGTGCACGCATTCAACAAATTGAATGCTGCAACGGTACCGGCTCAGACGCCGATACCGAGGAAGGACGTAATCATAGATGGTATGTCAAAGAGTACCATCTTTTCGTCCATGGATCTGATGGATGGATTCTATCAGATCCTCATGCGTGAACGGGATATCCCGTTCACGGCAGTGAGTACCCCCAGCGGTATGCTGTGAGAGTGGCTAGTGATGCCACAGGGGCTGAGTAACGCCCCTGCAACATTCAACAGATGTGTCACAAATCTGTTGAGACCGGTGCGAGATTTCGCACCGAGTTACTTCGACGATGTGTTCGTCCATAGTCGGGCTATGGACGGGAAGACGGACGTTGAAGTTCACAGAACTCACGTTCGTCAGGTTCTTCAACTTATGCGCAAGCATAAGTTGTACGCCAACCTCAAGAAGTGTATATTCGCGGCTAGCGAAATACCACTTCTTGGTTGCATCGTGGGTAAACACGGCGTACGCCCTGATCCCGAAAAGATCAAGGCG